CAAAACATATCAAAATCGTTATTTATGCACCAATATCGTTGGGAAAAAGACTAAGAGCATCATCTCAATGACCAAAACATGAATTTGATCTATTTTTGGCGACCACATGAATTTTGATCAAAACATGTCAAAATCGTTATTTATGCACTAAGAACGTTGGGAAAAAGACCAAGAGCATTATCTCAATGATCAAAACATGAATTTGATCTATTTTTGGCGACCACATGGATTTTGATCAAAACAAGATTAAGAGCATTATCTCAAAGGCCAAGACATGAATTTGATGTATTTTGTAACATTAAAATAAATTATCGTTAAAAGTTATTGTAATACTGAGGATCCTTCGATATTTCGTTGTATCGGTTTATTTTCTCTTGGAATTGTACATTTATAGGCCTTACATCCAAATACTTTCAATTTACTTGAATCAAGTTTACCATAGTATATTTCGGCAGGTATTTTTCCATTTAATGAACGGGTAGGTGACCTATTCAGCATATACACCGCGTTTCGCACAGCTTCGCTCCACAAATGTTTCGGTAGATTTGTGTCGATGAACATAGCTCTTACCTTGTTTAAAATTGTTCTGTTAAAACGTTCGGCAACTCCACATTGTTGAGGTGTATAACTTGATGTAAATTCATGTACTATGCCTGAATCTTTGCAGTAATCTGCCAGTTTTTTCGATGAAAACTCACCCCCATTATCCGTTCTCAACCTTGATACAGAAATGTTATTGGCCCTTAAGCATTTCGTGTGATTTATTATCTTTTCTTCAGCTTCTGATTTCTTTGTTAATAAATAAACAACAGCAAAGCGAGAAAAATCATCTATTATTGAGAGATAATATGTTTCCCCTTCATTTGTCGGTGTAACTACTGGTCCCCATACATCACTATACAAAAGTTCGCTGACTCTCTGAGATTGTTTTGGTAGAAATTTTTCAAATGGTGGCCTCGTAGCTTTCCCTTTCACACAAGATTCGCATATTGTATCCGAGCAAGGCAAATTCATTAATTGTAATCCCCTTCTGTTAATGTGACCTAACCTCAAGTGCCATATGTTATGCTGTTTAATTTCTTTACTACTCAATAAACCAGTATCAGTATTTAGCATTAATTCAAAATTGACTGTGAATAGATTATTAGTCATTTTACATATTATGATTTCATTTTTTGTAATAATTTTGGCACATCCATCTGCAAAAATAACTTTATAACCCGCACTGTTAATTTTTTGCACAGACAGTAAATTATAAGACAGGTTTTCTAATATTAAAACTTCATTAGTAACTACTGTTTTTGTTTGAGGATTTAGGACCTTTAGTATACCTTTTTCATGAGCTTGAATAATAGCCCCATTTGCTATTTTAATATTAATAGGTTGAATAATTGATATTGTGTTCATAAACGGTTTTAAAGTTGCACTAACAAGATTGTTTGTTGCACCGGAGTCCAACACAAATTTAACAAAGTTAGTTTCTAACGAATCATATGAGGCATCACTTGACAGTGCAATAAATGCAATACTTTCACAATTTTCAGCAACATTCGCATTCTTACCTCTGCTATTATATCCACGATTGCCTCGAAATCTAGTTCTACCTTGATATCGACGTCCTCTGTTGTAACCCCTAACTGTTTGACTCGAACTTGAACCCCTGGGACAATTATTTTGAAAATACCCTGGTGCATGGCAGCTAAAACATAAACGACTTTGATTACTTGCAGAAAATGAACTTTCACTATTATTAACAGACACCACATTCTTTTGCTTTAGTTCTGCGTCAAGTAACCGCGATTTAACAAAGTCTAACGTAAGGTCGGAAGTGGCAGTTTCTAATACAGTGACTACCGTGTTATAGGAATCAGGTAGTGTTAGCAGGAGGTGACACACTTTGTCGTCTTCATCTAAATTAGCACCACTCGCCTCTAAGTCATTAATCAGTTTATCGAACATTGAGAAATGTTCCTGCAGCTCCTTCGTTTGATCGCACTTTAATTGTAACAAGCTTCTGCGGCAGTATAGTTTCGTCAATACTGTTTTCCGTTGTAGTACTTTTTCTAAGTTTTCTAACATTTCATATGCCGTCTTCGCATCTTTGATATACTCGATGTGCTTGTCGCTAATACATCTAATGATAATGGACTTCGCTTTGGCATCATTCTTCAGGAAAATTTTCTTCTCGTTTTCGCTTAACTCTTCCATGTCAGTTTTCTTTATTATAACCTCCTTCACACCCTTTTCGTCCAGAATGGCGCTTACTCGAAACTTCCAATTTGAAAAATTTGACGATGTCAGCATATATTGCAAATCACTCTTGGGATCCATCGTTTTTTTTCCTAACCTTACTTTGTTCTAACAGCTTACTTCTAATTTATCTCACGCCTATGACTTCTTATTTCGAGTATTTCTGTGCCCATAACCTATTGGAATGTGGATAGCGGGGTGCTATTCTAGATAACAGAAAGAAATAAATTCAACACCTAGAAACACGTCTATTCATATCAACGTTAGCCATTACATTACATTTATTTCATACTGTCCGGTAGATGTTCGATTACACTATCATTTTGAGTCCGGTAGGTGAGTTATTACAGCATCCGAGCCGGTAAGTGTCGCTAAGCAACACTTACCGGACTGTTATTTGTATACATCAAATTTGACATCTTCACACAATTAATTAAAAACCCCAACATAAATTTGGCTGTAATTCTTTATTTCAAACATTAACATTGATTGTAATGAAACAATTTGTATTGCCCTCAACACTACGCCTGGGTTATTACTGAATGTCGAGTTAAGTAGTAATGTTTGATTCCTTCTGCTGTAAAACTTCAATGAAATTTTCGCCGCCTTGTATCAGTTGTATCATACGGGCAATCTTAACTTTTCCTTCTACCGAGCCTTCCATGTATTTTTCTGCCGTCGATGAGCTTTTCCATGCTCCATGACGCTTTAACACCGAAACCCAGGCAAAAAAATCTCAATTCAAAAACTTACTGCGTCCAAAAAGTATGCCAACATGACTTTTTCCTCTACTTGTTTCGCCCCATGTTCGTTCCTCAAAATTGGCAAAACACTTAGTACTCTTTTTCATACCTTGCGGCCGACTTCTTAGGAACCAACTTTTCGGTTGCTTCATGAGATTTCGACAGGATTGTATCGGGAACATTGGAACATCCCACAACGTTTATAACGTCAATTTTTCAGTGACAATTCAACTCATGTATAAAAAATCGCATAAGCCGCAGTGAAATTGTCACTTTGACAGCGGAAAAAGTTACCTGCAACTTTTCCAGCGACAAATGCACTAGTGGTTTTTTCACTTATTCATTTTCGAACCAATAATCGCATTATCCTTACCCATATGACTAGTTTGGCGTCTGTCAATAATTGATTAGTTTGGTGAATTTCTTGTTCGTTAAATTGTCCTGCCGAATTACACTCGAGGTTTGTATTTAAACCGAGTAAATTTGGGTTGTGGCAATTCAAATCTGTTTCCTTTTAGCAATTGGACTCGAAAATCTGTCAACCTAAAAATGCTCCACCTGCGGTGTCGCATTTTTATTAGTTGACAGTTTTTCTCGTCGAATTGCTAGGCAACAGATTTTCATTACCTTAACAACCCAAATTTACTCGGTAAAATACAACCCTCTTGTGCAATTATAAGTGAAAAAAATTCAATTGTCAACAAACTACAAACTATAGCAACGGCCGTTGTCACAGAAACAAGGTAATGCGATTTTTACAATATGATGAAATTTTGTAATCTTTGAAATGAAATAATGATACAAAACAGACTTACAGTATGAAATAAAATACGTTACGATATACGTCCGGTAGTACTTGTAACAGTACTCGTTTAAGACATTCTTGACTCGGCTCCTGACGTCGCCTCGTCCATAATGTCTAACTCGTACTGTTACAAGTAACCTACCGGACTTATAACGTAAATAACTATTTTGACACTCGTATTCCAGTGTCGCCAAAACATACATAATACAGTTCTTTCAACAAACCTGTCTTAATGACGGTCTTGCTTTGTTACGACAATTACCAAATCAAACATCATTTTACGATAAATGCCTGCAGGCACGTAATATTGTATGGGTCGCTAGCATTTCGCATAAATACAAACACGCATAACTCCCATTTTGCATAAAATAAATAGCGTTTGAAAAAACGACGCATAAATGTCAAGACGCATAACTCCCATTTTGCATAAAAAAATAGTCATTTTCAAAATGTTCTCACAAATAAATTTCGCATAAAAAAAACTACGCATAACTGGCATTACGCATAACTCCCATTTTGCATAAATAAGTTTCTCGTAACTGGCATTTCGCATAAATTAAAGATGCATAAAAAAAAGTGTGCATAACTCCCATTTCGCATAAATGAAAGATGCATAAAAAAAAGTACGCATAACTCCCATTTCGCATAAATATCCGTAACTGGCATTTCGCATAAATTAAAGATGCATAAAAAAACTGTGCATAACTCCCATTTCGCATAAATGAAATATGCATAAAAAAAAGTGTCCATAACTCCCATTTCGCATAAAAACAGGTATCCGACCAACGGCGGCGATGGTCGACCGACCATTTCGGCTACTCTGGACGTTGACGTTTGCTTAAAAATCATCTGAATTAGAAACACAAAGCGTGTCTGTTTATTATTTGATGCAAACTAATGAAAGTATTCGTTTATTCAAAGACTAGTCCATGATTACTGTTGATAACTTCCCGTGCAAATTTTACTACTTTTATTATTTAACAAAGTCAAGTGTAAGAGGTTTAAGAGCGTTATACAGTCTGTTTGTTTGTTTGGGCGGTTGTGGATTCGGATTAATAAAACAACGTGACGTGCTTTCGTCTTAACGGCCGGATGCAGAAGACCGTGTCTCCTTTATTCAATGTCATGGTTGCGATCGCTGCGTTGCCAAGTCACATACATTACATCTCCCCTTTTTACAAATCGTAACATATACATTTTAATTACAAATTTAACCTTACAGGTTTTTTAACCATACGTCCAGAAGAAGTTCTTTGAGGTGAAATTTCTTCGTTTACCTTATTAGCATCAGAATTTGAGTCGTTAATAATTTCTTCCTCAAAAAGTTCCTCCTGATGTTCATCATTATAATTATCCTTATCTACTGGTATAGGAATTAAAAACCTTCTATTTCTATTTACATAATTTGAATTCTGCAGTTGTACAGTATAAGTCCTATCTCTAACTCTATTTTTTACTACACCTTCCCTTATGCCTATTTTATCTCTTATATATACATTTACACCATTATCCAGGGGTTTTTGCTTAGTAGTGCCCCTATCGTAATAGTATTTTTGCATGGTTTGTGCATTTCTTAAATTTGCTTGAATTTTGTTTGCATTAAATGTTTGAGGTTTTAATATTTTATCAGTTGTTGGAATATTTGTTCTGAGTACCCTCGACATTAACAATTGTGACGGTGAGGGAAGATTATTATTAATTGGTGTGTTCCTCAGTTGTAGGAGGGTTAGGTATGTGTCTTTACGATCAGTGTAGGATTTCTGCAATGCTTTTTTATATGTCTGTATGAATCGTTCGGCTAATCCGTTTGACTTGGAATTTTGTGGACTTGACTTTACACTTTGAAATTCCCACTCTTTACAAAAGATTTCAAATTCATGAGATATGTATTGTGGACCTCCATCGGAGTAAAATACTTTAGGAATGCCATGCCGAGCAAATATTGACTTTAGATGATTAATTACTGTTTTACTATCGGTGTCTTTTAATAAACAAATTTCAGGATACTTGCTGTAATAATCAACGACTATCAAGTAAGTATCATTCCCGATATGAAATAAATCTGATCCAATCTCTTCCCAAGGCAATTTGGGTATGTTATGCGATATTAAAGGTTCTCTAATATTATTTTGGAATCTTGCACAAGTTTTGCAACGTTTTACCTCATCTTCAATATGTGCTGTCATAGCTGGCCAATACAATGATTGTCTAGCTAAATGTTTACTTTTGCTTATCCCTTGATGACCATAATGAATTCTTGCTAACATTTCTTTATACATTGATTTTGGTATTATTATTTGATTTTTCCTTAAGAATAAACCATTATGATAATAGATTTCGTCTCGAATTTTATACAACGTTTTTAGGTTGCCTGACAAGTTAGTTTCGTCAGGCCAATCATTTTTTAAAAATGATTTTAACATGATTAACTCAACATCTTTTTTAGTTTCCATTATAATTTTGTTTAACTGAACTTCCGATATATTAAATGATAATTTTATCAAACAAATTTGTGACTCTAATTCAATATCTAGATTGCTCTTTGTTTCAGGTTTTTCTGCACAGCACCTTGACAAAGTATCAGCTATATACAGTTCTTTACCTCTCTTATAATATAAATTAAAATCATATTTTTGAAGTTTAAATAACATGCGTTGCAATCTCGGAGGAGTGCTTAACAATGGTTTTTGTACAATACTTATTAGCGGTTTGTGATCTGTTTCGATGTCAAAATTAGTCCCATATACAAAATTATGGAATTTTTCAGTTGCTACAAGAATTCCCAATAGCTCCTTTTCAATTTGAGCATAGTTTCTTTGTGTTAGCGTGAGCGCTTTTGAAGTATAAGCAATGGGTTGACCTGCTTGTAATAATACAGCACCTATGGAATCCTTTGAGCAATCTGCTGATATTGTACACTTTTTGTTTATATTGAAATGTTGCAGAACAGGTACATTTGATATGACTGTTTTAATTCTATCAAAGCATTTGTCATGCCGTTCATCCCAATGCCATACTGTGTCATTTTTTATGAGTTCCCTTAATGGAGCTGTTAGTTCAGATAACTTGATTATATGTTTTGACAAATAAGTTAGCATACCTAAAAGTCTTTGTACATCTTTTTTGTTACTTGGTGTCTTCATATTTGTTATAGCTAACACCTTTTCATTATCTACGGTTTGACCAAATTCATCAAAAATGAATCCCAGAAACTTAATTCTACTTAAACCAAATTGACATTTTTCTGCATTAAACTTAACATTATGTTTCTTAGCTAATTCTAATACATTGAAGAGTCGTTTGTCATGTTCTAGCTTTGATGAGCCATACACGACAAGATCGTCGATATATGTTTGGACACCTTCCATGTTAAATATTTGCTTAAATCTCTTATGAAATACTTCACTTGCTGATTTGATACCATACGGTAATCGCAAGAATTTGTATCTACCATAACAAGTGTTGAATGTGCATAGATTGCTACTTTCCTCATCTAATTTAATGCTCCAAAACCCTTTAGAAGCATCCAATTTACTAAAAAATTTATTGCCTCTTAAATTTGGTGCAATTTCATCTAAGGACGGTAATTGAAAATGTTCACGTTTGATTGCCCTATTTAAATCTCTAGGATCTATGCAAATTCTAACTTTGTTACTATTAGGCTTTTTTACTATAACCAATGAGTTTACCCAATCAGTAGGCATATCGACTTTCTCGATTATCTGATTCTTCTCCATTTCGTCTAATTCAACTTTAAGGTTATCTTTGAGAGCTAATGGAATTTTCCTTGGCGGGGGTACTACTGGCATTACGGTATGATCGACCCTTATCGTGTATGGTTCATCCAAGCATCCAATACCTGTAAACAGTTCAGAATATTTTAGCTTTATGTCATCATACTTCATTAATGGTGGTGGTCGTTCATTTACCTCTAAGCTATGAATTCGTTTTATGACTTTTAGGGATTTACATGTTGGTAACCCTATGATTGAAGGTGCATCAACATCTACTACATAAAAATCAATGTTGTAATATTTGCCTTCATATTTGCATTTTAAGTTACATTTACCTAACACAGCTATTTTGTCATTTGAAAATGTTGTTAAATTGCAATTGGATTTTTGTATCTTTACATTTCTCTTGAGAGAAATTAAATTAGATTTGGTTATCACATTTGCCATGGCACCTGTGTCGAGCTTACATTTTAAAGTTTTGTTGTTAACTTCAAAATTTATAATGAAATTCTCAAAGTCATCATCCCTGCCGAGTTGATCGGAATGATTATTTACTAAACCTAAGAATAAAGATTCAGATTCGTCAGCTGATTTTTCTACTACATTAATTTGTTTCTGCGTGCACATTTTTGAATAATGACCTAATTTATTACAAAAATTACACTTAGCTTTTATGGCTCTGCAAATTTGTCCTTGATGATCCAGACCACATCGGTAGCACTTGGGGATGTCTTTGGACCTTCGATTTCCATTGATGTTGTTCCGATGTCGACTGCTTGGTCGTTGCTCTCGATTTGCACTGCTCTGTGACGTCATCTTGTTTCTATGTTGTCTGCTCGCGTTGAAGTTCTTCTTTGATATGTAGTGGATTTCGTTCTTGCTGGTCCCAATTTTCACAGCCTGTTCATGTGATGATTCCATACTTTTGCACAGCGTTATCGCCTTCTCTAGTGTCATCTCGTCGTCTTCTAACAACCGTTGTCTCATTCGCTCATCCGCTACGCCACACGTTATGCAAGTCTTGATTAGACTGTCTTCTAAATCACCTAACTCACATTGTTGCGCGAGAGTGGTTACTTCTGTGATGAAATTGGCTATCGGTTCGCCTTCATGTTGTTTTCTTGTGAATAAATTGTACCTCACATTTGAAATATTACTTCGAGGTTTGAAATAATTTTCAAATTTGGCGATTAATGGTTCAATTTTCTCCCTTTCGTTGTCTTCGAACTTGAATGTGTTATAGATTCGGAATCCATTTTCTCCAACCATGTGAAGTAGTTGCGCACATTGAGTTGCTTGATTTTTCTTATCCATTTCGGTGGCTTTCAGGTAATTTTTAAACCTTTGAATGAAAAACCTCCAGTTCTCGTAGATATTTCCACTGAGATGTAATGGCGGTATGCCCCCATTAATTTTTTCCATTTTTGTTTCACCAATCAGGTTATGTTTTCGGAATATTTTAAGACTGCTCCTAAACTAGGTAAATAGCGAAGTTCTACGTACTTTTATTTACGCTACGGGTTTCGGCACCATGTTATGGTTGGGGTTGTGGATTCGGATTAATAAAACAACGTGACGTGCTTTCGTCTTAACGGCCGGATGCAGAAGACCGTGTCTCCTTTATTCAATGTCATGGTTGCGATCGCTGCGTTGCCAAGTCACATACATTACAATGATATCCAAAATGGGTTAAGTCGGCGCATTATTGTTAATTTTCATAGTTGTGTAGTTAGAAACACGCTTAACTTATCAAAACTGTATACTTTACCATTTTCTTACTGTATCCAAATATGTAATTAAACAAACAAATTTCGCATTTTCCAGATCATTACAAAAATGTGACAATAATATTCTCAACCGTATGTCTACCTAGTTTTAATAGGGCGGCTACCTAGTCCATTGAAATGTTACAGTTTTTTGGGCTTAGCGTGCGTTTGTCAGAGGACGCAATTTTATTTTTTAATATCAAGAAGGACTTAGTCTAGTTAAATCCAAGTTTGTGGGGTTGTAGCCCTTGTCCCGCGGCCGCCATCTTGAAAAAAGGGGTGCAAATGGTTTTTATGGTTTATCTGACACCCTATTGGTCTCACAAAAAATTTGTTCAGACATTTTTGATTAAGAATAAAATTCTCTAAAACTTTGGTTCAGTAACTTTTAGTCGTATAACCAGAAGTAACAAAGTTATAAACGAAAATTGATGAACATTTTGTAAAAAATTTTCAATTGGTCGTTATAACTTTTTTTCTGGTCATTTAAAAAAAAATGACATCAGGCCATTTTTATAGAGGAGTTTGCAAGGAATAATTTTCATTACAAACTTTTTCGATTTTATTCATTCATTAATATTTTATAGCGCTTCAGTGATAAACTATAAATAAATATTAATGATTTTAACGTATGTACCTTTCTAATGTTCTAAATGACATAATTACTGTTTCCTTAGTCTTTTTGATGGATCAGGCTGCGTTGGAATTGAAAACAAGTTAAATGTACTTACACTTTGTCACTGTTTTGGCGAATCGTTTGTATCTAATGCTGTTAAAAGAATCATCATCTTTATTGCCACCATATAAAAGGATGAAAAAATTTTCACCAATGACAGTGAACAAAGCAGGATCGATTCTCTTATTGAGGAACAACGCTATTCCACTTGCTAAGTCTGGATCTTTCTCCAGGGTTATGAGAAATTTTAGTTTGCCAATGTTGTGTTGTGAGCTGCTGATGTGTTAGTCCTGAAAAAGCATGGAGAAACAGCAAATTATCCGCAATGACGTTTTTGTGCATAAAACCTGACGGAGAATACAATTGCTCGGCTGTACATCCTTTTCACGGTTTAAAAAAATATATTTCTTTGCTCCAAAAGCAGTGAGCAACACAAGTATGTTGATATCTTCAGCTACAATAGTAACTGAGTCAAACGATTGGGATGCAGCAAAAGCAGAACGAACGATGAAGGGTGTCTGCATCTGATTGTACTTGGTCGACAGTGAAACCCACCTCTGAGAATGAATTTTTGAGAAGTACAATGAAATTAGCCTTGTTCTTCTCATTGCCAAGAAATTTCTCGTGTGATAACGTCGGTACGGTGTTCTTATCGAATTGTACGTCTGTCGACTGATGTTTCTGCGTGCGACGCAAACGCTGCCAAGACTTAAGCTTGTTTCACAATTGACGCAAACGTAAACGCCAACGGAAACGCAAACGGTAACGTGAACATGAACAAATTCGCAGTCTCACAATTAACGTTTACGCTAAGTTTTGTCACGGAATATTTTGTTTATTAAAATGTGTTCTGTGGTAGTTGAACTAACCTAAAAAATGTTTTTCTACACACATAATTAACAATTCATCGAAACCTGGATTATCGCACATCGTCACAACTTATCTTTCGTTGATCTTTAAAGGTTATGTGGCTGGATCGCAAGCGCGCGCATGTTTAAAACGCCAACGGGAACGGGAAAGATAATTAGTTCCTGCGACTTCGGGGTCTTCTGAGTAGCCGTCTCGTAAAGACAACACTAATACGTGAGACCAATAGTTTGTCAGATAAACCATAACAACCATTTGCACCCCTTTTTTCAAGATGGCGGTCGCGGGACAAGGGCTGCAAGCCCACAAATTTGGATTTAACTTTAGACTAACCCCCCTTGATATATAAAAAATAAAATTGCGTCCTCTGACAAACGCAACCCCAAATGTAACTTTTCAATGGCTTACTATAAATCGATTGCCTCCAGCCAACTATAGTCAGGTCGGGGTAACAATTGAGTATAAATAAACAGTGCATCATGGTACAAGTTAAGTAATTGTCGTATTTAATTATCATGCTAGCAATATTTCCACATGCTAAATACGCCGATATGGTATTCATTTACGGTTTCTAAACAATGGAAGTGCCAATGGGAGCAATTGCCGAGTATCCCCATAGATTTCGAAATCGATGCACTCTGCAATTGCACCCTAATTTGACTATAGTTGGCTAAAGACAATTGATTTACAGTGGCCCTATTAAAACTAGATAGTTAAAATAAAATAATAGTTGTTGCTATATTTTGGAAGCGGTTGAGAATAAAAATATATTTTAATAGCGTTTTTGTCTGCAAATAATCTCTACTTCAATTTCCCAAAATATTACCCCTGAATACGCCCAGAAACAGCGAATGCTCGGACATAATTCGAAAATTGAGAACTGTAATTTCCAAAAATACCCTACCCCGACGAACATGCTAATCATAATACATACATAATTTTTGTGAAAATATCTATAATTTATAGTACACTACACACTGAGTGGTACAGTATAATTGCCTAGTTTATCGAACAACAATGAAATTGCAAAGTACGCATATGAAGCAATGAAGCAACGTGACCTATGTGACTTATGTGCTGACTTGCTATTATTTATTAATTAAGAAGATAAAATACCTATTTAGTAGGTAAGTACTGGAAAAAGAGCAAGAAATGAAATTGTTTGGTAACTACCCCTTTCGAGCCCAGCCTGCTTTTAATACCAATTAGATAATATTCAACCAAAAATGCTATCTTAACAGTTTGATCCAATTTGACCAACCATGGAAAATTTCTTCAGAAAAACTTTTTGCAAAATTCATTATGAAAAATCTATTAACCTATTCGGTTGCATATAACAAAACTTTAGAGTTTTTCTAATTGCTTTTCACCAAGTGAGTACCATCCTAGTTACCATCCGTCTACTTAAAGAGAGAATATAATAACCTATTCTGTTGCATATAACCATGAATAAATAACTTTAGAGTTCTTATGATTGCTTTTGGTCAAGTAGGTACCATCCTTGTACTGGGATACATGCAAAGCATCAGTTTGATGATGATTTCTTTGGACTTGTTGTTCACAAGATGTTATTGGAGGATGAATGCAATCATTTTAAACCATAAAGACCATCTTTATAGTTGAACCAATTTGGCCAACCAAGGCAAAATCCTTCAAAAATGAACTTTTTGCAAATTTCTTTACGGAATATCGAATAACCTTTTAGGATGCACATAACCATGAGCAAATAGCCTTAAAGTTTTTATGATTGCTTTTCACCAAGTAGGCACCATTCTTGTACTGGGACATATGCAAAGCAGTTTGATGAAGATTTCTTTCGAATTGTTGTTCACAAAATGTTATTGGAGGACGGATGAAATCGTTTTAAACCATAAAGGCCATCTCTATAGTTTGAACCAATTTGGCCAACCAAGGCAATTTTATTCAAAATAGAACTTTTTGTAAATTTCATTATTAAATACAAAACAACTGTGTCATAGACTGTTGGCAAATTGGAAAAGATTTTAGATAGACCTCTGACTATGCAAGGTGTATTTTTTTCATTTCCAATGTAGGCGATCTTGTAAAACGTAAGAGATATAAAGGGTGTCGGTTAAATGGACAAACTTATGTAGCACTTGTATGTTAGAAATTAATTTTATATCTTTCATGGTACCTATTCTAATTAAAGGTCTCAACAAAAGACTCTGTTTTTTTACCAACTACGGCTCTTCTTTCTTTCTCCTTATCAAATGAGAGGGTTGGGTAGGGACTGGTTATATCCTTCATGGTACTCTAATGAAAGTTCTCAATGATAGTAATGACTATCAACCATCGTTTTCTCCTCGACTTCTTATCGTGATAATAATAATAATAAAAAACACAAAACTCCTTCACAGAAACACACCACATTTTCACAACCCACTCGTACTCAACCGCAACGAAAAAACCTTAACAGAACTACAGGCTCACAAAATACTGCAATATCTCCACCAAAAACCCAAGCAACCTCACAAATACGACCTCAGGAACAAAGAAACACCATAAATACAATTAAAAAACAAAACTCCTTCTTCACAGAAACACACCACGTTATCACAACCCACTCGTATTCAACCCAAACGCAAAGCCAAAGAAACACTTACACAATTATGACCTGTTTGGTTCAAAATCATCTAACTAATCCTGCAATCAGATTTGATAAATAACAAGTCCAAAGAAATAATCACCAAACTTCTTATGTTTCTTCTGATACTTGTTGCTAATAGATAAAAAGCAATCACATTAACGTTAAAGGTATTTGCTCATGGTTACATGTCACCTAAACAGTTGTGTTGTATTTGATAATGAAATTTGCAAAAAGTTCTATTTTGAAGAAAATTGCCTTGGTTGGTCAAATTGGTTTAAGAAATGGAAATTACCTTTATGGTTCAAAATAATCTAAATCATCCTATAATCACATCTTGTAAACAACAACCCCAAAGAAATAATCACCAAACTTCTTTGTATTTTTCTTTAAGTACACAGATGGTACCTATACAATTATACATACATGGTGAAAACTAATCATAAGGCCTCTAAGGCTATTTGCTCATGGTTATGTGCAACCGAATAGGTTATTCTATATTCCGTAA